TCCACCGATCACCTGCGGAAGAGACTACTATAGTTCCGTACTATTAGCCACTAAACTGTTGACACGTCATCTGAAACAAACTGAACCGAACCGATCCAGGTATGAACTGTGTAATTAGAATATTTGGACCGGTTTAAATCAGCTCAATCTACTTTTAGTTGTAGGGGATTTTGTTAAAGGCAAGTGTTTTTGCTTATCCAAATTTATCTTTGGAATCTTACTTCTCCATGTTCCAAAGGGTTAAAAATGAATTTTTGGAATAAATGTATAAAACGAATATAAAAGAAAGTAAACGAACTTTGAAAAAGAAAGTAAACGAACAAAAGAATGTATAAACTGAAAAGAAGAAAGAAAAAAACAAGAATGGATACTACTAACTACTTGCAACTAGACCATCAATCTTTACAATGATCCGAGTTGTCGAACTTAGCAAGTATTTGCGTTTGCAACCAGTCGCGCCTCGCCATCCAATTTTTTTATAGTTTCCTACTATTTCAAATCAAAATCGATTTGCAAACCGATAACAAAAAAAATCACAAAACTTGTACGTTTGTTTTCTGTTGGATGCAGACAAGTTAACATTGTATTGTGGTGAACACAAAAATCTTACAATGATTCTCCCAATCTTTTGTTGTGCTTATCAGAATCAAAACTCATTAAAACACCCACAAAAATCACTTAAAAGGACACTTGAGTAAAAGCGGAAAGAAATAGACTCGAATAGCTTCTCCTCTCTCTCTTTTTCCTGGATTTGCGTTGAGATGAACAAAAAGGATTCCCGACTTGAGAATGCGACTCACTCACCAAGCTTTCTTTAGTTTTGGATTCTCATTCTGTAGAATCTCAAGAACCCACTTTTCGTCTCCATTTTCTCTCCAAAAGAATATAATTCCGCGGTCATTTCCCGCTTCCTGTTGTTGTTTTTTTGTATCCAATCCTCTCTCACTCACAATCCCATGATGCAGCCCACGTGTTGTATTATGCTCCTAACGCAAGATCAAAGAGTAAAGTTAAGTAAACAAGAATCTGTAAAAGGGAAGTGCACGTACAAGGAAGAACATTTACTCTGACCACTCTTTTCTTTTACTTAAAGAGTGACATTTCAATGAGCAAAGTAAAGGAAAGAAACAGGGGAAATACTAAAGAATTCAGCACGATATAGTATAACACAGATGATCAAGATTTAACAATTATATAAATGGTGACAATGAATTAAACACTTGGTCTGCAAAACACACATAGCATTTGATATTAACTGATATAGCATCACCGAGGAACCTGGAGCAACATGTCACAGTAAAACCTTTTCTTCTAATCCCTTTAGCTGGTGAAAACAGACCCTGCTGCAAAAAATATAATCAAAATTTGATATTAATTTGAATTCTACATTTGATATAGAACATAATTATCTATAAATATATCTGGTAAAGGTGAAATCAATCAAAAGATTTCAACACAGATTTTGCTTGGTTTTAATTTACTTTTCATGGTATTCAAATAGACTTAAAAAACTTGCAGCATACAATATGAAGCTCACTTTGTGGAAGCATATTCCCATCCACATGGCAATCAACTATTTAGGCAATATGCTCAAATACTTTTAACTGAAGGTTATGAAAGCTTCTTTACCAAACAGAATAAAGTGTTTAAGAGAAAATCAGAACCATGAGATATCAACAAAAAAAGGTTGAAAACAAATGCAAAGATATCATTCAAGGAACATAAGATTTGTTTTTTTTGACAATTTCATTTGGAACACTAAACCAGTTTTTTTTCTCCAAGGCATCTATCAAACTCATTAAGATATGTGAGACTCTATAATAGATTGTGGATATATTCTCTATTGCACATAGAGAAGCCACAATTTCAGCATTTGGCAATCACGACTTC